TAGTTTACTATTGAACATAATTTCATTTCAGCTACCCTTTCCGTATTTTATTTTGCTAAAATCAGTTATCGCCTTCCACGTAAAATACCAAGAAAATCTCACATCTTTTTAACTCTGTCAAATCTGGAGCTCCTTAGGGAAGAGTCGTGAGAACTCCCCTGAATAACCTATACACAGCTGATGACTAGGTATTCACATGTGCTAATGACAACAGTAAGTCCGGAGAAAGAAAAATGCTTGAGCCTCCGCATTTATATTTTTTACTGGTGCCCTGTTACAGCAAACACTGCACATCCATTGAATAAGGTTTTCAAAACACGAATAGAAACATTTACTTTGATTTTTTTGCGATGGCGCTAAAAATGTTGTAAAACCAAAAAGTAAACAGGGGAAAAAGGTGCTTATTAAATTTAGCACACAATTTGTTGAAGAGCCTGCTGCCGATTCCTTGGTCAAATATTTATCTTCCAAATATGAAGTGTTGAAGTTGAGCCAAATCAAAGTGTTTGCAATTAGTATAAAGTATAAAAAAGGAAAATAATATTTTAAGATATAATTTTCTTTGCCAATATAATCTTAAGATATAATAATTAGCTTTGATTTATCGGGAGGATAAAACGTACCTATGGGATACGAAGTATCTATTGTGTTAATTGTAGACATGATAGTGAATCAATACTCATTAGCAAAATGCATAAAGTTCATTTTTATAAATACAATAATAAATTTCTATTACATTCATGTTCATGTATGGACATTTGTTTGCGAGCATTATCATTCATGATAATGTTGACATCCAACTCAATATTCTGCTCAAGTGTTACATAGTAATTACATTTTCATTAATGGCTTCTAAATTACGTACCTTTCGCAACGTAGACGACGTAGACTCAATCTTGATAACTCCAATGTAGCGAATCATTTCTCTTTTCTTATATTATCTGCTTTTCGTGTACACGTTTGACTCTTGCTTTCACTAGAAAGCTTGAAAGTGTGCGCAAGAAGTTATTGTACTTATAATATCCATGAGAAAATTCCCATCAGCTTAACGAACATGAAAACGATACAGATGAATCTTAATATTTTAGGACACTAAATGTTAAATACGTTTTGTCATTAATTCCAAAATTTCCTTTAAATTACACAAATGATCGACTGAGATGTAATGTACCTCATGTCATCCCTACATGAGGGTAAGATACTGTCTAACATGCTCATCGAGTAATCAGTTACGATTTAAGTGTAATACAACTCACGCGGAGTTTTTATCTTATCAAGGGTACAAGTAATTCAGAAAAGTGAAGAAAATTAAAACACTACGTCCTAGAAATTTAAAAAGATAATGTCTAAAAATATATCGATTTAAGTAATTGTCCAAGTCTGTG